CCCCCTCCCCCGTCATTTACCGCGGCAGTTCATTCAAAACAAACGCTAGGAGGTTCATTCCGGTCGCTTTGCGTATCGTGGAAATTCGTACGTAATCCGCGGAAAGTGAATGATCGACGACGCACAGTGGATCGAGTCAACAGGAGGGGTCGGAGGAGGGAAATTTTAAACGCTTATAACTCCGTTTATTCTAAACTTTCAGGATCAGAAAGTGGTTCCGTTGGTTTCCTCGTGAAATTATCTTCCCTTAGCACCCCTTGATGTTTAAAATACGACGAAATAAACATCGACAGGGTGTCTGCAAGTCCGGAAATAGTACTGATTTTTTTAAGCGTGGTCCGGAAGTACTGATATAATGCAGAAATTTCAGTAGTATGTCGGGAATATTTGTCTTTTTTATCGAAATTTGAGCGGGAAATTCAAATTTTTGAAATTTTTTCGAATTTCGTCAAATGAAGGTATTAAAAAATTACTGAATTTTTCTGTTGAGGAGGTACTGAATTTTTTTGGAATGCACTGAAAAAGTACTGTAAAAGTACTGATTTTTGGCCAGCCTGTTTTAGTCGACACCTTGGAAATAAACATTAAAATTTGCAGTTTTAATACAAATGTTCATGTCCGACCTCTCGTATTGACTCCATCCACTGTGCACCGGGCGCGTCGAGTGATACGAACTGTGTGAATCGATTACATATGCTGCCGTGCTAACGAAAAACACCGTATGAACATTCGAGAGTTGCCGAAGTTCCTCCGATGAGATGTTTGTTAACGAGGAGATTTATAAATATTTTCCCCTGAAAGTTTCAGATGACGAAACAAACACGACAACAAACGTTCCAACTACGAAACAAATTCTCTGAAAAATTGAACGGAAACTATTCTCTAGCTCCCCTGAAAATTCGTATTTAATGACAGAAAATTTTGCAAAGTCTGGAGGCTCTTACGGCGTTCTTCCTTACAGGGTTGCCTTAGTCAGGGAAAATCGGGAAATTTCAGGGAAAATGTGTTATATCACCTTTTCATTTGCTTTCTAGAATGGGTTCGAGGTTTCGAACAACAAATTTTGCCCGAAAAATATTTTCAATTATGCCTCCTTAACCATCCGTCACATCTTTAACTGTCAGAAAATTTCGCCAAAATGTGTCTGGGAAATCAGGGAAATGACAGGGAATTTTATTTTCTAAATTCTGTGGTATCCCTGTCCTTAGCACGGCAGTGTGATGCTTGGAAAAAAACTGAATCCTTTCTTTCCCCGGTAATAAAAGAAACCGGAGTCAACGGTTAAATGTGCCAGCTGTCAGGGCCGGATTAAGGGGGTGGCCATATAATGCTTTTAAATGTAGGTAGAAACACAATTCGGATTTAGAAAAAAAAAAATTACGAACGAGAAAAGGCGACAAATTCTCTGATTTTCTGAGAGTATAGTAATTTCTACTTTTGTCGTCTTTCAGTGATACAAGAGACAGTACCTTTAATTAGTCGAGTTAAGAGAGAAACCAAACATGCAATTTGGCCCGGAACGGCGTGACTTACCTAGAGAGATATGATGACGAGGACTTGAGATGAAAAGGAGAAGCCCTCGGCGCGGCGATCGGCATGTAACACATATTAGCGCCTACAAGACTGCACGAATACTTCACGCATTACGTCAACGACAGTGCGATCATTGCGGACAGCATGAAACGGATAGCGCCTACTAGAATGCATGAATACCTCACGCATTGCAGCAAACAACGCGATCAGCTTGAGACGCATAGCGCCTGCAAGACTGCGTGAATACTTCACGCATTGCGTCAAAAACACAGTGCGGTCTGTGAGGCGCGGCGGCGGAAGTTAAAATCACTAATCCACATTTATGTTTGTTCTATCATAATTTTTTCGTTCATTTCTCATGAATGGAAGGCCTTGTCCACACAGAGGTATGGAATGACCAGGTGCACTGACAAGAATCGATTATTCTGCATGGTTTTAACGGAGGGAATGCGATGTTGCCATATTGCTGGATCCGCGCGAAAGGAATCGGGGACCCGTCACATCGCAGACTCTTCCGTCAGGGTGTCTACAAGTCAGGAAATAGTACAGATTTTTCAAGGGCGGTCCGGAAGTACTGAAAAAAAGCGGAGATTTCGCAAGAAAGTCCGGAATTTTTTTCCACCTGTGTCGCTATGTGAGCGAAAAATTCAAATTTTTGAAATTTTTCGAATTTCGTCAAATGAAGGTATTAAAAAATTAATGAATTTTTCTGTTGAGGAGGTACTGGATTTCTCGGGAATGTACTGTAAGAGAACAAATTATTGGGAAGCCTGTTTTAGTAGACACCCTGCTCCCGTACGCTTGTTTCATGGACGACACCTGGAACGCGGACCCCGTGAACCCTCCCTGACCTCGCCCAATGCCCTCCGATTACGACGACGAAGATGACGAGGACGGTGGAGGGCGAATCGCGTACACCCGCCGCCGCGCTCGAGTACTCGGGTCGGCGGAGGAGGAGGGGGCGGCCAGCGACCTTGGGCTCGTCGGGAGGTGGGTCCCGTCCGCCTCCGATCCCCCGCCGCCGCCGCCGGGGCGGAGAGGGGCGCCTCGCCGAAAGGGAAAGGAACCGGTGACCCCCCCCCC